CTATGAGTCGGAACCAACTCCGCAGCACATAACCACCACCACCACCATGTCTGGTGTGGCTCTGTAGGATAAGCATTGAACCACAATGTTGGTGATTCAAACATTGCTCCTTGGAAAACACTATTCAGGGTCTCTATACATCAGAACTGACTTGATGGTCCTTACCAACAACAACACACTCCATTCCATTCCTGGATATATTTGCAGCAAAGGTAAATCCCATGTACAAATATCCTCTCTCAAACCTTCATGTACTTGGGGGCATATTCCTGCTGTCCCTCTCACACTGTTCATCCTGTGTATCTATCTATGTATATATCCGTAGACCACTGTTATTGCAAAATTATGTGTATAACAGTATTTACCGCTTTCCCCTTTAACTCTTGCACTCTTCCCCTGCCCTCATCATTCTTCTACCAGTCTCCCTCTTGTAATATTGCCTCCCCATCACCTAAGTTAACACGTGTCTACCCTCTAGCCAATGAATTACTTCCCTTTCCCTCTCACTCCTGGTAACAATCAAAGAATGTTTCTTTTAGCATAAAAGTATTTTCTTGACTTTTACAGTAGTGGTCTCATACAATATTTGTCCTTTTGTGATTGACTATAGAAGGTCACTATCAGTTGAATCAACTTGATGGCACAAAACAACAACAGCAATTTCACTCAATATAATATCCTCCAAGTTCATCCATATTATGAGGTGTTTCACAGATTCTTCATTTCTCTGTAGTACCATTGTATGTATGGACCAAAGTTTGTTAATCCATCCTTGCATTGATGGGCATTTAGTTTGTCTCCATCTTTTTGCTATTGTGAATAGTGCTGTGATGAATGTGGGTAGACATGTATCCATTTAAGTTACAGCTCTTATTTCTCTAGACTTTATATCAAGTAGAGTGATTGCTGGGCCATATGGTATTCTGTGGTACTTTTTGAGGAAGTACCATACCATTTCCCACAGTGGTTGTACCATTTTACAGACCCACCAGCAGTATAGGAGGAATCCAGTTTCTCCACACCTTTGTCACTATTCATTGTTTTCTGAACTTTGCTATTAAAGCTGGATGAGACAACATCTCATTTTGATTTTCATCTCTCTAACAGCTAATGATCATGAACATTTCTTCATATACTTGGTGGTCGCCTGAATGTCCACTTCGGTGAAGTGTCTGTACATATCTTTTCACTCTTTTGATGAAATCTTTTGATGTACATAAGTATCTAATTTTTAGGAGGTCTCAGTCATCAATTTTATCGTCTGCTGTTTGTGTTTTAAGTTGTTATTAGATAGTGTGTTTATACTATGTATCAGAGCCCCTAAGTTTGTCCCTTGTAGTTTTAGGTTTTACATTTAGGTCTTTGGTCTCTCTTGAGTTTGTTTTTGTATCTGGTGTCAGATATGGGTCATGCTCATTCTTCTGCAAATGAATTTTCAGTTTTGCCAGCATCATTTGTCAAGGAGACTATTTTTTCCCCATTTACTGTATTTTGGCTCTTGGTCAAAGATCAACTGACCATAGGTGGATGATTTACTACTGAGCTCTCAGTTCTGTTCCATTGATCTTTGTGTCTATTGTGGCACCAGTATCAGGCTATTTGACTACTGTGTCTGTTGTTTTGAGATTGGAAAGTGAGAAACCACCTACTTTGATTTTCTTTAGTAATGTTTTGCTTATCTGGTTCTCCTTTCTTTCCATATAAAGTTAGTCATGAGTTTTTCCATCTCTTTAAAGGATGATGTTGGATTGGGCTTACATTATATCTGTAGATGCTTTCGATAGTGTTGACATTTTCACTATATTAAACCTTCCTGTCTATGAGCTTGGTATGCTTTTCCTTTTATGTAGACCTCTTTTGGTTTCTTGTAGTAGTGTTTTGTGGTTTTCTTTGTATAAGTTTTTTGTTTCTCTGGTTAGACTTATTCTTCAATATTTCATCTTTTGAGTAGCTGTTGTAACTAGTATGATTTTCCTGATATTATTTTCAGAGTTCTCTTTATTAGTGTAAAGGAAGCGAACTGATTTTTGTATGTTGGTCTTATACCCTGCCACTTTGCTGAACCTTTTAATGAGGTACAGTATTTTTCTCACCCAGCTTTTAGGATTTTCTATGTGTAGAATATTATTATCTGCAGATGGAGAGAGTTTTATTTCTTTGCCAATTTGAATACTTTTATTTTTCCTTTCTTATTTCTCTGGCTAGGAATTCCAGCCCAATATTGACTATTGTTGTTAGGTTTCATTGAGTCAGTTCTGATTCACAGTGATCCTGTGTACACAGAATGAAACTCTGCCTAGCCCTGGGCCATCATCACAGTTGTGGCAGTGTTTGAGTCCATTGCTGCTGCCAGTGTCAATCCATCTCCTTGGAGTCGTCCTCTTTTTCACTAATCTTCCACTTTACCAAACATGATGTCCTTCTCCAGGGACTAGTTCCTCCTGACAATATGTCCAAAATTATCAGAGACCAAGTTTCACCATCCTGGCTTCTAAGAAGCATTTTGGCTGGACTTCTTCCAATACAGATTTGTTTGTTCTTCTGGCAGTCCATGGTACTTTTAATATTATTCTCCAACATCATAACATAAATTCATCAATTCTTCTAAGGTCTTCTTTATTCATTATCCATGCATATGAGGCTACTGAAAATATCGTGACTTAGTCAAGTACACCTTAGTCCTCAAACTGACATCTTTGTTCTTAAGTACTTTAAAGAGGTCTTGTGCAGCATATTTGCCTAATGCAGTATGTCGTCTGATTTCTTGACTGCTGCTTCTGTGATAGTGGATCCAAGCAAACGAAAGTCTTTGATAACTTCAATCTTTTCTCCATTTATCATGATGTTACTTACTGGTCCACTTGTGAGGATTTTTTGTTTTCTTTATATTGAAATGCAACCCCTACTGAAGGCTGTGGTCTTTTATCTTCATCAGTAAGTATTTTAAGTCCTCTTCACTCATACCAAGCAAGGTTTGGGGTAGGTTTGTTTGGTGTTGGCTGCTGTCTTTTGTTGATTGGATGGTAGAGGAGCTGATAGTGGCTCTTGTTCAGTGGGTGGGACTGCAGAGGGCACAGTTGTGGTGGGCTGTATGGGCATGGCTACCTTCCCATCGCTGGCTATGCCATCAGGTTGCCATTTGGATCCAATGCTGCTTGCAAAAGTTCAAGGTGGCCGAGCCAAGTCAAGCCAGCTGATACTTCACTTGTCTGACTCCTATCCCTGTTCAGTTTCTTCTCCTAGGCAGTATTTAATCCACTTTTCTATCTTTTCCTCTGATGTTCAGGGTTCTAGGATTATCATCTGTATCTGCTTCATTTGTTTTCTCATGTTTTTGTTGTAGAGGCTCTCTGTAGCATGTCTGCCTAGTCTGCCATCTTGCTGCAAGTTAATTGCAGCTCTTTTAAAGTAAGCTAATATATGCATTGCATTTCCAGAAGGTTTTGCTCTTATTGATCAGCCAGGTATTGGCTATTTGCTCTGTGGTCCATTTTGATTATTTGTTCATTTCTTTGTCTTCCTAAAATTCTTTTTTCACTGAAAGTAAAGGTGGCTGAGATGGTAAAGGGAGGTTCCTAAGGGAATTTTGGTTACAACAGATTGAAACTGCTGTTCTAAGGGAGGTACTGGGAATTTACTCCTTGATCCAAGGTCTGTGCCCCACTTGAACTTGAGGTCCTGATTTGGAGTAGGATGGGGAGCTGTGTGGTCTGCATTTTCTTTCCAGGCCAAGTCCATGGAAAGATAGTCCTGGAAGCTGCTCCTTTATTTCTTCTTCTTATGTAGGAGTCTCTGAGGCCCAGGACTCAGCTCCTATCTCCTCTGATTGCAAATAACACTGGAGCCGTGCCTCTGGAAACCCCAACGCAACCTGGCTTCCCTGTCTTTTTTGTGCAGATATTGGCCCAGTGACCCTCACGGCGGACCCAGCAGTGTTTCAGAGAGAGCTGAGGGAACTTTATGTACAGGTGGGCTAACCCCTCTCCTAGCTATGCTGTTTTCCAAGGTTGTGTATCCTCTGTGCTGTCCTTCCCAGTCCCGAGGCCAAGATAATGGCTTCTTCTACCTGCTTCCCAGCTCTGCCCAGCTTGCTGGGATTCATCCCTTTATTCAGGGAACCAGGCACCTACTGTAGTCCTCTCTCCTTGGCACATAGTAGGTGCTTTTCATTGTAGCAAATGAATGAAGAAGGTGGAAGGGGATGGGGCTGATGTCCAGTTGAGTGTATATGTGGCTGGGGGAATCAGAGATGAGTCATTTTATTTAGCCCCCATGACCAGACCCAAGACTGAATCAGCTGCCTGTGACCACCTGTGCTACTTTGCCAAACTGAGGGTCCTGGCTCATTGTTGGAATGCCCCACCATGATGTCCATTGAGACCACAAACTTCCTGGAGGCAGGGACCACACATCTCAGTCTATTAACTGCTGGATCCCCCAGGGCCTAGAACAGAACTGGAGACATACAGGGGGTTCAGTAAGTCATGGTGGGGGTGAAAGAGTAAATCAAGGAGAGAGCTGAGAAGTTTGCCAAGAAGTTGCCTTGTCAGATCCTGCTGCTGGGTGTCCAACCCTGGGCAAGACAAAGAGAGCTCCCATTTGGTTGGCAGGGAGGTGAGAGTGTGTTTTTATGTGGAATTAATACCAGGTCAGGATACAAAGAAGATTTGCACTTTCCTCTCTCCCAAAGCCCACCTCTTCTCTTTCCTGAATCTTCTGATTCTTTAAGCCTTTCCTTACAAACTCATGTGACTTCTTTGGCACTTTTTTAGATTCTCATTGCTTCACACTACCTCTCTTCCCTTACTGTGACACTCATCACAATGGTAATGAAATAATTGTGTGTTTATTGGTGTCATGCCTGTCTCTTGTACTAGACTCCAGACGGGCGGGACTATGTTACTCTTGTGAGGATGGATGAACGAATGTTGCTGCTTATCCTTAGTTACAGTCAACTGGATGCTATGTTATGCCTCAGGGAAGGAGTGACTGAGGCTATGGTCTGGCCCCTAGCTGGGGGCCTCCTAACTCTTGATGATTTAGGATATACCCCTAGTTGCCCTACCTGGAGGAGGTGAACAACAGCTGCTGACATGCCCTTGTCCTTCAGGGAGGTGGTGATTGTCCAGAGATGAGTGTAGGAGCCATCAAGGCTGCTGTGGAGGTCGCCAACCCAGGCTCCTTCATCTTCGTCTTCTCTGATGCCCGAGCCAAGGACTATCACAAGAAGGAGGAAGTGTTGCATCTCCTGCAGCTTAAACAGTCGCAGGTGAGCCATCTGGTCTTGGGGGGCCATGAGAGGGTCCTACTCCAGAAGCCCTGAGCTCCCACCTGAAGGCAGGAGGCCAGGTGCTTTTCTTCGACAGCTATAGCGATACGAATGAATCAAGGTTTGGTGAATTCCAAGTGTGTTCTCATCATCTGGGCCCCCTGCCTGCCGGCCTGCCGGGCTGTTTAGTGAGGCATGCTCTTGATAAAGACCACACCACCCTACTCCTTTTACACCCTGTCAGAGCTGGTACAATCCATCTTCCTCCTGGCGTGGCCTCTGCTCCTTGTCTCTGCAGCTCACATTGCCCAGTTCCCATGGTCTCAGGGTTTAGAAGATGTGTCGGGGCTTTCTGGTTTTCCAACAAGGGCTGGGGGAAGGGATGTAACTGTTGTGACCAGGACTGGCCATTATAACTTCCTAGGGTAAAGACCTCATGGGCTGGGGCAGCTTCTCTACATGTGCATAGAGAATAAACTGGACTCCAGGGTTCTTCTAACTCTGCAGTCTCTTGGGGTCATTCAGAAACAAATGGGTTTCCATTCCCTTCTTTGTCTTGGATTGAATAACAACTCCCATTTATTCAGTCCCTACTGTATTTCTGGCTTTGTGCTAAGTGCTTGACCTGCATTAACTCCTGATCCCTATGAGAGGACTGTTCTGTATATTCCCATTTTATAGATGGGTCACCGAGCCCGGAGAGAGAGAAGGACTTGTGTGGGTCACTTTTCCCTGGCTCTGTCCCTGCCTCTCACTCCTTAAGTCGGTGGCTGGGAAGCTGTGAGTCAGGTTGCATGTCTGTCTTCTAGGTGGTTTTTGTGCTGACTGGAGATTGTGGAGACCGCACTCATCCGGGCTACCTGGTCTTTGAGGATATTGCTGTCACCAGCTCTGGACAGGTGTTCCACCTGGATAAGCAGCAAGTGACTGAGGTAAGCCAGGGAGGGCACACCTTCCCCTAACCTCGTGAGCCTGTTCCCTAGGGACAGTGAAAACACTGAACATCATGTGTCTCTGGGGATCTTTACCCGATGGCTGAAAAGTGATCAGAGCTGATGGTGCCTACCTGTCAGCTTGTCTCAAGTCTCTCACCAAACCCTTCCATCCATACTATAGGCTTTTTGGGTTTTGCAGACAAAGAGGGAGTCAAAAAAGCAACCTGGGTTTTGGCCTCAATCCTACCACTGGTCCAGGTGAGAGGGATGGATGAACCTAGCAAAGTCTGGCAGAATTGTGGACCTGGGGTGTCTTCTGATTTTCCTCCAGAGTTGAGGAACTCAGAGTGGGAAGAGGAGTCGGGGCTGGATTCTGGCTGTGTTGCTGGGACAGAAAATCCTGCCTGGGGATTTGGTGACTTGGCACTGGCTCAGCATTGTGGTCTGAGGTGCAGGGCCACTTAAGGTCTGGACTCACTCATAGTCCTGTGCTAGCCAGGTGTCTTCATTCTAGTCTCTCTGCTGAAGCATGTGTCTGCTCTTTCTCCCTTCCTGCTCCCCCCACCTGCTTAGCACTCTCCCTTCATTTTCTTTCCCTCACACTTCCTTTCCTTTCCAACAGCCAGGGAAATTCTTCCAGTGACATCTTGGTAAATATTTAGCAATGGTTTCTTGGAAAAGAACAAAGATGCCCATTTCCATAGTGTAAATACTCCCACCTTGGCCAATTGCAAGCTGCCATCATGAAGTCACTGGATGAGGAGTTGGGGGTGATGCTGACAACTAACTTCCATGAGCTGGTGTGAGTTGGCCTTCTTTTGAAGGAAATCCAACTAAATCCCTCCCTGCTGGCCCCTGGAGAATGCCCAGGCCTTGATCTGACCCCTCCCCTTCTTCTCTCTGATTTCATCATCTGTGTTCTCCCCCTTGTCCACTATTGGCCTCTGCTGTTTCTTTCTTCAATGTCCATTTCTCTTCCCCACCTAAGGACCTTTGCTCACAACTCGTGTTTTTTTTCTGATCCTCTTTCTCTGGCACCTTCTCAATCTTAACTGAAATGTCACTTTCTCAGGGAGAACTTCCTTGAATTTCTCTCAAAATTAAGTCTCATTTCTTCTCCAACTCCTTGTCCTGTTTTATATCATTGTAATTTTACAATTATACAATGATTTTGTGTCACTAGGTTAGAGCTCCTCAAGGGCAGGGCCATTGTGAGTCCCACTGACCACTGTGTGCCCAGCAGTAGTGATGCCTGGATGGATGTGGGTCCCTTGAGTGAGGGTCCCTGGGAAGAGGAAGGTAAGAAGCAGCAGCTCTGAGACCAGCTCCAGCCTTGAGCTAGCTCTGTTGTCGCCTCCAGGCGAGGGTTCTGAGTGTTGTATATTTATGAACTGCTGAGAACAGTCTCCAGGGCTGTGTTTAGATTAGCATGCCTTAGTTCCCTGTTGACAGATGGCGTTTATGGTTCTCTGCGACACATTAGGCTTTGTTTTTGGCATGTCAGCCTACTCTGGCATTGAGCCACTAAGCGAGGGTGGAAGACTTGCTTAGCAAAGGGACAACTTGGTCCTTGCTTTTGGGGTAGACTTAGCAGGGGAACTTGCATAGGAACTTAGCTCCTGCCAGGAGCTAAAGAAATGGCAGAGCAGACAGGCAGGGCACTGGAGGAAAGCTTGCTGAAGTGTGGGGCTTGGATCTCCTGGCCCCTTCCTGGATACAGGGAGTTTGAGCCGAGTCCACCAGCTCCTGACTGTGGTGCCTGACCTGTTTGCTCTGAGATCCTGGCTAGGCTGCCCATGCCTGACTCTGTGAGGCTGCCGATGACTAGAATTAGCGGTTTCTGGTAGGGGTCTGGATCCTTCTCCTTCCTGGACAAGGAGCTCTGTCCTTCACTAGCTTAATGCCTTGGACCTAGCCCCTTCCAGATGTTCCCAGACGTTCAGCAAGTCTGGGAAAGAGGCCGGAGCAGCCAGGGTTGTGGTCATCCCTCCAGGAGAGGCAAATAGTGCTTTGACCAGAGTCCAGGGAGTTCCAGCTGGGAGAAAGACTCTTCAGAAGTTACACAAGTCTCCAGATCAGGCATATGCAGTTCTTTATCCTACAGCCTTACATTAGGGCTCTCTCTCTCTCTCTTTCTGTCTCTGTCTCTCTCTCTCTTTCTCTCTTTCTGTCTCTGTCTCTCTCTCTCTCTATGGAGTCCTGGTGTGGCGCTGCTGGTTAATGTGCTGGAATGCAAAGTCAGTTTGAACCACGGGCAGGTGGTTCAAGCTCACCAGCTGCATCTCAGAAACCCTATACAGGGTCACTATGGGTCAGAACCAACTCAGTGGCACTTAATAACAACAACAACAACTCTCTCTCTCTTTTTATATATATAGTTGTTGTTAAGTGCCATCGAGTCAGTTCTGACCCATAGCGACCCTGAACAGGGTTTCCGAGGCTGTAAATCTATACGGGAGCAGAAAGCCTCATCTTTCTCCCTCGGAACAGCTGGTAGTTTCAAACTGCTGACCTTGAGGTTCACAGCCCTATTCGTAACCACTACACTACCAGAGCTCCATATATATATGATTCCTGGTATGGTACTGTGGGTTAATATGCTGGACTGCAAAGTCGTTTGAACTGCAATGTTGGTGGTTCAAACTCACCAGCTGCTTCTTAGAAACCCTATACAGGGTTGCTATGGGTTGGAACCGATTCAGCAGCTCTTAACAACAACAACAACATACAGATATAGGAGTCCTGGTGTGGCACTGTGGATTAATGCATTGGACTGCAAAGTCGGTTTGAACCACGAGGTCGGCAGTTCAAACTCACCAGCTGCTTCTTGGAAATCCTATACAGGGTCACAATGGGTCAGAACCAACTCAATGGCACTGAAAAACAACAATAACACACACACACACACAAATAAAACAAAACAGTTTGCCATTTTAACCATTTTTCTGCACACAATTCAGTGACATTAACTACGTTCATCATGTGCTACCCTCTCCACTATTTTCAGAAGTTTTACATCACTCCAAACAGAACCTCAAGGCCTCTTCAACAGTACCTCCCACCTAACCCTGTCACCTCCCCGAGTCCCAACAACAAGCTGTTGTCTCAATGTTTATTTGCTTATTCTAGATAATTTCGTATACATGGGAATCCTACAGTTTTTGTTCTTGTGTGAAGCTGCACACATTGTATGCTCTCTTCTGCACACCTACTGTGTGCCAGGTACAGCTGTAGGTGATTTGCGTGGAGGAGGTAGTCACTGAAGCTTAGTTTCCAGTGACTTTGTAAATTTAGATTTTTCCAGTTGGTGCATCACTAGTGCCAGGAGCCCCCTTCAGAGTGTCAGGTTATCTAAAGGAAGGTGAAGACCCTCCTCTTTCCCACTAGCG